CTCTTCTACACACAACACGTACTCATATGTCTCAAGCTTCGTCTCTATGTTTTTTACGACGTTATTTTTTTATTTTCAACGGGTATTTGTATATACATGTCACATGTCAGATTAATAGTGCGGTATGTGAAATCAATAGCACTTTAAAAAAAAAAAAAGTATATATTTACATACCCACGATTAATCGCCAAGTGGGATTAACTCTGGAGTAATCCAACAATCTCTTTATGGGAAAAACTAAATGGTCCTCACAGTTTAACGAGTGAGTGCATTCAATTTGGTTTTTATTTTCATGAATCTTTTAATCATGATTCACTGATTTGTCTTATAAAATCTTTTAAAACGGGGAACTTGGTGAACTATTAGTCGACATTACTGGACTGCATTATTTTCAGGGGCAAATGATCAAATCACTATGGCTCGCAAGTGGAGCCACAATCTGTGTTTCTATTTTCCGGCAAGAATACGCCGCCGTCGAAAAATCCGCCCCAGAATGAGGAATGAACAAGCGTTCCACAGCTGACGCTATCACCCTTAATCAGTTGCTTCGATTCAACTTCGGGAAGAAATCCAAAAACCGGAGGTTCTGGAAATCCAAAGGTCCTATTGCATTAGTGGGTTTATCTCAAAGTGTTATTGACCATTCGATTGTTTCGAGAAATTCTTACAAAACTTTTTTTTTTTTTGCAGCTACAACAACTTACATACCAACATTGAGTAAGATCCTGCATCACAATCATCACATCAAATCTGAAGCTCGAGCTGACCAATCAACTTTTGTGACTTCAATAAGAGGTGAGACATTCCAAGTCGGTCAAGGAAGCAATCTCTTGGCAGAAGGAAATGTTTTCAAGAATGCTAAAATCCACAATAATGGTGATTTAAAAACCCAATTTGGAGGAAAGTCTTTTGTACCCTTCAGACCTGAAGATTCAACTGTCTGTTCACAAGCGATTGGAAGGCCTTGCGTCATCAATTTCTCGCCCCAATCCTCCAAGTACAAGTTTGCCTTAGAAACCCAAGCTTTAAACAGTTTCAAAGTTAGTCATTTCTCTTTTCTAAACAAACAAATTCCACATCAAGACAGCTAATAGATAATTGAAAAAGGGGCGACCAGAGAGGTGACTCAGTCTTGACCTCTGCCAGCCGCGAATATTCAGAATGGAGTACCCGGGTCTTGTGGTGTTGGACATGTCTGAATCTCTGCATATTTGCATTTCTTTCTGTAACTTTATTTATCTTGGAAGTTTTGTTTCATATTTACATCCAACATCTGTCGATTTGGTCAATTAAGAAATTTCCCTAAGTAGGGTTGAATGATAAAAACCAATCAAAGAAAAATAAACATGTCCAACTCATAAAATATCCAATAAGTTTGATGTCGAAATGTGAAGAGAAAGCAAGCTTTGAGGAATATAAACCCACGGTATCGTCACATGACTATCAAATAGAGATTTCATTTTTCGAATCCATGAGGACAATCTAATTTTAGGTTTTTCCTATTTGTGACCTGTGTTCCTGGAAATATAATCCATTTTGTAAGAAAACAAAGAGAGTGTTGAATTCCTTTGAACCGGCCCAATGCCAGCCACATCCACAAATGAAGCCATAACCACTCATCTTTTGCCATTTTATTATTCATCGAAAAAAATGACAAAATGATGCACAATCATGACAGAGGTGCATCTCAGTCTTCAGGGATAGTTGGGCTGTCGTATAAGATTTCTTGTTCACCAATTATTGTACAAGCAGTCATGACATCGACACGAAAACATCGGGGAGCGACTCCTCCCGCCAACTGGTGCACTAAGTAGTGCACTTGATGTTAAGGTCAAGATGAACTGCATGATGCCAGAGGGGCCTGGAAAGCTTTGCAATGGATGAAGGTGATCCAAGCCAGGTGCCGATTCTCGTGAATGATACTCGCAATATAGTAACCATTTCATTCTATGGCTACTTCGTGAAAAACTGGCCCCATCCTAACATTTTTGGATTATCTGTTGTGCCCCACATCATGTTAAGGTCCTGCTGGCGAGGTACCGTGCTGCTTGAGAATGCGGCAAGCCTTTTGCCGGATTAATCAGTTGAGATCCGCGAACTTCACGCAAGTATCCTAAAAGATTTCTTTAGCAGCCTTCCGAAAACCAGCCCGAATCTTGATCTCTGTCACTGATCACTCGACAAGAAATCATAGTGGAAAAAAATCAGTGTGCGACGAGTAGAAACAAAGGGCTGAGGAAGTGCTAACACGAGCTCCTGCAAGGCTTTCCCTGGTGGGGTTGGTTGCAGACTGCCCATCTATTCTGTCCGGCCAGCAGTTCGGCTATGACTACCCCTCCATTTCGGATAACACACAATGCCAGGGTCAGACATGCATAATGACAACCAGGGTTAATATGTCAAGTACCAAAATATTGATCCTTGATCCTGCGACCCTCACTTCATATCAATCTGAACACTGCGTGTCGATGACCAGCACAAGTTGTCCGGCCGCTAGAAACCGATGCTGCCAAGTGCCCCTTCGGCGGTATATAATCAGGGGGTTTCTTTGCGATGTTATGGCGAATACGAGCCTAACAACAGGGCCTCGCGAGTGAGAGCCCGAAGGGCAGCCCGCAAAGGTCTCTCTCTCACAGAGATCGGTCGGCGTAGGCGACTCCGAGGTCATACCAGGAGAGATGGGAAAAGGGGCTTGTGGGGTTAAGTTCGGGTGTAGCAGTGATCGCAACGCCATCCACATTTCAAGTTACACTATTCTTTCCCTTTCTCATTATAAATTTACAAGGACTGGCTAAACCTTGTTGGCTGGTGAAAATTGTTCGACCTCGAGATTTCACCAGCAAACAAAGTTTAGCCGGTCCGTCTAATTTAAGCCATCTGGTCGACGGGAAGTCCTCCACTGATTGTATTCAGCTTCCACCTCCTACAACAAAAACTCAGTCCAAGTTCTTTCGTTTGAACCCTACTGAACCATTTGACAGGGACAGTCTGAATTTTATGTCCACTCACGTTCAATTACCATCGGATCATTTGATGGCCGGTTCACTATCCTTCATCTTGCTCTGCCTGGGGTAAGTTTTCCGCCACTTTTTTTTAAAAAAAAACATAGCCAATCTGATTACTTTTCAAATTTTTGTAATAGATTTTTGCTTTACCGCGTCTACAATGTCATCATCCAGGTCGGTCTCCCTCTTTTTGACGAACAAACTCAAACAAGCCCTTTCAACTGATTAAATCCAATCTACGTTACATTCACCAGAATATCCACATAACGTGGTTGAATCCGCACATCGTCAGTGTTCCTTCCGGGGTTGCTATTTCTTGAGCTAGTCATATTGTTGAAACCTTCCACACATCTGACCAAAGTCTGGTTTCTCAATGCAATTAACAGGTCTGGGGAGGTGATGGAATCATGATGGACAGAGCAAAGAATGTGATTAATTTTATCTCTATAAAAACAACAGTAATGAGATTCTTACCGGAGCTTTGTATTATGGATCGATCATTGTTCTTTCAGCTACATTGGTCGACCAATGATCGTTACTGGCGGCACAACGCAGACTGAGGCCAATACTGGCATCACAATATCCAACAATCTATTTTCGGGAAGAACCAAATGGTCCGCTCGGTGTCAAGAGTAAGTGCCACTTATACTGAGCTGCCCTGAAGCAAATGGCCTCATCGAACTTACGCCTTGAAATCACAACCTTGTTGAATTGACAGGACAGCACTATTCTCAGGCCCCAATGACCAAATTACTATGCCTCGCAAGTTGAGTTATTCCTCTGGTAGCTGCATGGTCGAACCCTCGCAAAAGAAAAAAAAATATATATATATACTCACCCTTCAAGTCCTATCAGCTGCATCGATTCCACATCAGGAAGGAGCCCAAAAACAGGAGCCTCTGGAAATCCTAAGGTACTAATTACACTAGGAGGTCCAAATTTTTTAAGACTTGATCCCTCATCTTGTTCGACCGAGTGAGTAGCCTTGCTTACAAGGGTTTTTGTCTTTGCAGCTACAACAACCTACACACCAATATTATGTAAGTATTTTCTTTCTTACCATTGGGGTCCCAGATAGTGTGGAGATAGTGTTTTTTTTTCTTGGATGTGAAATGATGCTCTACGTCAATTCCACCCAAAAGAGGAGAAACTTTCGAAGTAGGATCAGGGAGCAACTTATTAAAACGTCTTTGAGAACATCAAAATGCAGGACCCCTGAGATCTCAAAACACAAGATGGCAGACACTCTTATGTCCCTATGAAGCCTGCAGAGGCAGATCGATGCAAGTCAACTCTTGGAAGACCTTGCGCCACCAACCTGCTGATACAGTCCTCACCATACAAGTTTTCTGTCGACACCCAAGCTGTAGATGCTTTCAAAGTGAGTGGTTCCTGCTACATTCTTACATATGACAACCAAGGGAGATGCCATGCCCGATGTGTCAAATGTGGCATGGGGTGGCTGAAAAGCTTATCATCCAGAGTAATCAAGATGACAGAAGCTCCGACAAGCTGACCTCAGGCATGCCACCCTTGTCAACTGACTCCGAAAACTGTCCCCTCCGGACTCTGATGAAAACTATCGCCCAGCTGATAAGCAGCTCAGTCGATCATGTAATAAACATTTACAACGAAGCCATAAGTTGGTAGTCTTCCAATAGCCACAGCTGTATGATCAGTGAGTGGGTAACACATTCCCGGAAAGCGCAATCCATGCTGGTCCAAAACATCCACAAGGATGCTTAATCTTTGAGCAATGGTAACATGGAATCATCACAGGTGATTAGTACATGAATAAAAAATGATTGTAAAAAATTTGCTCAACTAGACATTCATAGTAGCTATTTCATCATATGTGAGATCCTACTGCTGAATGTCAAGGAGATAGTTAACAAAAAGGTTCTAATTGTAAGCATTATGAGATTAACTACTCCTACTTGTAATTCAATCTGAAACCTGGCCTTCTAAATTGAAGTAACAAAAGGATACTAGTGATTAACGATTTTGTAACAATTGTCTGGCTTTCTTGTTGGTTTTCACTTCTGCTTTCAAAAGTTCTACAATTTTTGGGTAAGAATACTTGGGATAAACCGGAAGCCAGTATTCCCTATCACTGAAGACCTAATAATTGGAATGGATGTCAATCTGATTGGTTTTCAAGTTGGGGTATGTGAAACAGCATTTGCTCACTTCACTTTCGGCTTTGTGTGCCACACCTCTAGCAATTGCTGAAAACGAAGAGGCTCGGCTCCACATAGCAACAGAATATCTTCGGCGTTGCTTGACTTCCTCAGGAAAATGGAATTGCGAAACACCATGGAAAACGATACGAAATGGTCCATGGAATGAAAACCCATGTGATCCTGGGTATGCTACCCCAAGAGATGGAAGAATAAAATCTCCCCCAAGGTGGTTTCCGAAAAAAAAAACACTGTCCATTAAGAGAGCGTTGTTAACATCTCTGTGAGTGTATGGCTGGACATTCACTGTGACAGTTCGAGCTGATTTCAAAGTCAGCCTAATTGAATTAGAAACAGTAACATAGAAAAACCTACCAGCAACAATGGGGTTGTTTTCTCTTTCAATGGCTTCTTTTACTGCAGAAGATCTATTCTTAGATAGAAATTCAATAGCCAGTTCGGCTACAGCTGAAGATTTAGGCAGGAAAATTTTGTTGATCCAATAAGAAACCCTCGAGTAATATACCGTGTCGCATCTCAGTTCCACTAGGCCCCTGAAGGTTGCGCCAGTTTCAGACCTCAATGGTTCTGGAAGGTGAGGCTCTTCTTCTTCGTCTGATCGCCAAGCGTCTCCCCAGCCCTGTAGCTCTTCAGTTTTGATGTGATGGGTTAAACAGGGGATTTTTTTGTCGGCAGCTCCAGTTGACAGGGGCTTGGGATTCAACAAAGATGTAATCAGTTCCCCCCATTGGTTTTATAGCAAGAGGTATTTACTCACACTTCCCAACCCAAAGCCATATGCCTGAAATGAGCAAGTGGAATCCTTTGCCTCCTTGGCAGCACGAACCAGACCCTTAGGGTTTGACGAAAGTGGGAATGGTGACATAGGAGGCAAGTTTGTATCTGGACCATCACCAAACTCTTCGTTTGGGTTGACCTCCAGTACATTAGCTGAAACAAAAGCATTGAGGGTGGTTTCGGCCCTAACCTATTTGTACAAAACAATCAGAATGAGAAATGTATTTTGTCAGTCGGATAATGAATTTAAGATTACAATCTGATAAAGCAGAAATGTGTACATCGGTCGGAATATGAACTGTGTTGCTGGAAGCCGGCTTTGGAGGAAGTCCTACTCCCACACAGATGCCCCCCTCATCAAGAAGTATGACCATTGAATCACTGGGCAGAAGTTCGCATTGTTTTTCCAATTTAATGGAATGGGATATCACGGACTGGAGTGTTGGAAAGCGGAGACAAAAGGGTTTCTTGGTCGCTGGGTTGACTTTGATTTCGTCTGCATAAGCTTGGATTCTATGTCGGACTAATTTGGCAGCTTCATTGATCTGGTTCTGGAGCATGGTTTGAGGTGGGCTTCCCTCAGTAAAAACAGCGCCGACCATTTCTAGTATCTTATGGATGTGGTGTTTGTCGAACTCTTGCATTAAGAAGACTGCCATTATGTCGAAATCCACCACCTTCCGGATGGCCCCATCATGAGCTTTCTGCAAGTTTCGGAGTGCTTGGGAATCGAGGCTTGCAGTGTCATCATAATCCGAACCACGTTTGAAGCCAGTCCTGGGAGCCATCTGAGTCGGTAGGAATTAAGTCAGAGTAGGTAGAAACCAAGTCAACACATGGGCCCCAGGGTATACAATCCGTCTGTGTAGGAATCAATGGCAACAAGTCTTCGCGCCAAGGTGCCATTGATCCCACAATGTGAGGGCAGTTGAAATTTCGCATTTCAACTGCCCTCTCTCAGCACACAGACGCGGGCCCCACATTATATGATTGAATAGGAGCTCTTACTTAGTGTGTGAGACTGATTTTAATTGTTAATCTTAGATACAATCGGGGCTGATGCAGGGCTCGATGGCTGTGTGTACCTGAGTAATGGATAGGGAAAGGCCGAACATCAGCATGTTGCAACAGTTTGCACCTACCCAAACAAGTCTGTAAGAGAAAAAAGGCACAGGGGGGAGCGTGAAAGATGGGACAATGGAAGAAGTGATGGGGTCAAGAGGTGAGCGAGTCTGAGTTGAGGATCCAGATCAGGAGAGAGATGATTGTCCTCGTCAGTAGTGGCACCGTCGGGCGTGATCGGGGACACCCTTTGAGTGATGTCTCTCTTTTGTACATCCATGAAAAGGAGTGTAAAATGCTTCTTGGAGGCGAATTGGTCTAGCTCGCGTATTCTTTCCGTATGCGTTGACTAACTAGTGCAGAGACGACGATTGAGAGGTGATCGACCCTTGTTCGCCAGTTCTCGCCGTTCGAGGTTCATCAGATGACTCAGATCTAGCGCATGCATGTCGTTCAAGGCCGGTGATCCATTGTCTCCTCCTAAGATTATCAGTTGGGTTCAGGATAATATCGCATGGAGGTAAAGTTTGTTTGGCTTTTGGTTTGGTCCATGTTAATGAAACTGGGATTTAAAGAAAGATGTAAGTAAGAGTATCGAGAACTATGTTTTGTTGAAGGAATAGAAAGACTTGCTGGTATCTGAATAATACAAAACATCCAAATAATTAGGCCGGTCGCGATGAGGGAGTTTTAGATCAAGGCGCGGTCGGAGAACTGGTCCTTTTTATTGAAGCACGTCTTGAGGATTTGCGAGCCGACCAACTCGAGATACTTATATTCGAGCTTTTCTTCTTCTTCTGAATCTGTTGAGGATGAGGAGGATCGACACTCTGATCCTTGTCATCCTCTGCTGTCCTTGGTTTCCCTCCTTGAAGGGTCGTCTTGCTTGTAGGCGAGGGGGAGCTCATCGTTTTGGGCCCGATGATTCTCAATAAACTGCCGATTTTGTTCAGGAGATTGGTCGAGAGGATGAAATACTTGGGACCGAAAGCTGTGTTGGACGACGATAAAACAGATCAGCTCGCACAGATGAGTGAACGTGGCAGCTTCCAAAGGGGTAATCGACACCGATTCTTGGTCGTCTGGTACGGAAGTCGACCTCAAATTAATCTCTGCGAGAAGGCATTTTTTTCGTAAAGGGAGATCGACTTACCTGGAGCATTATGGATGAGCTCGAGGAGCTGCAGAAAAGGGCGAGCAGACATGGACGCAATGGTCATAGAAGAACTGAAAGACCGTTCGTTATCGGGATCCTCGTCGCGCTTGAGCTGGCCGTTACTATCGGCAAGGGCCATGTTGGTCGACGGATTCCCGAGGCCCAGTTCCGCCCATATCGAGCAACGTCCTGAGGGCATCAGTCAGTTGATCCTTGAGGCCCAAGTCGGCCTCTGGGATCAGCCATTCAATCAAACTTTCCGGCAGAGTCTTGGTGCCTTCCTGGCCCTGTTTCAAGCAATAAATATCCCCGCACACTACTCGGATCGTAGTAGATGATCGTGATCAGGATCTCACAGACCGCCGACTTGGTCATCGCCTCCTTCTCGCGCACCTCATCCGTCTTTGGAGGCTCTGTCGAACCTTCTTCTGCTGCTGACGGGTCGGTGTTGCGGTTAGTCAGGTTCTCTTTCGGGAGCCCAAACTCGATCACTTCCAAGATTCCGCGTTCGGCCAGCGACCGGAAGAAGCTGATCCGAGGACGGGGCTTGGGGATGTTTGGCCATCGAGCAGAGCTGCTGCAGGGGAACATGATCGTGTCGATCTTCTGCTCAAGGAGAGTGCAGGCCCATCGAGCTCAGGTTTTGAGCGCTCAGAGACCATCGATGGCGGTAGGGGAGTGCCGATGATGGGGGAGGATGAATTGGCTGGTAGTGGGTCGGTTCCCATATCAAAGATCCCAAACAGGTCGCGCATGAAGTGGTCCCTACTGTGTAGGTATTGGACGATCTCGACTTGGTTGAAGAAGAGCATCGAGTTGATGATATTTCAAAGGTTGAGTAGTCCATAATTCGTGCAAGGAAGATCTCTTTGAAGTAATGCAGTCGGTAGGTTAGATGGATCTTCGACTTGATCTGCTCATCCCTGATGGGCACTACTTCCTTGAACCTTGTTGGATCGGATAAGTCGGCATGAGATGAGGCCTTTTGGTTCCCAAATTCAGGATCGTCTGAAATGAACGGCAGGATAAGCAGATTAGCCAAGAAGAAGAAAAAAAGATCTGTTTCTGTGGTTAATCGGACTGACAATCTAAAATACTGGCTTGCTAAAACAGTATGCTGGCCGGATTCAGGAGGTTTCCATTGTGATAAAGTCCAGTCGTGTGGATTTATGGCTGCGGTAGGGAAGGGGGGGGGGGGGGGCGGGGGGGGAGGGAGGCTTTGAGTAAACAAGATGAGGCCATGAAAAGACTCACTGGATGATGATATCGATTTGGTGCCAATCGCCAGATGGTTGGTGGTGTCTGAAATGTGACTTGTTTTGGGAACTCCGGTAGGGATCATCGGCTGAGGTCTGGAAATCTGTGGGGGCCCCGGAGGGGGCACCTTTTCATACTGGAGCCGTAAAATATTTGGAAACCCCCAAGCGCGCCCATTAAACAAGTTTAACCATAAACCATGACAAGTTTAATCAAAAACCATGAACAAACCCCCTTCTAAGGTACTGTCGCAGGAGACAGTAATTCTCCCACTGGTCCTGGGAACCTTGGCGTGCGCAAAATATTGTCCCCCAGGACTCTTCTTATATAACTTTTCTGGTCTATTGTTTTTCCCCCTCTAGACACAGTGCCATCCAAACCCCGGCACCGCTATCATTAGTCACTCCTCCCAAACAATACTATTTGCCTTCTTCAGGTTCAACGAAACACAGCCACAGTTGTATTATGTATACTCCTGACATTATCCTCTTTCCATATCCAACTTTAATTTCCTCTCGATCTGTAAATTTCATTTCGAATTATCCTAAAGCAGGGGATTTTGTTTCAGTACTCTATCCCCTATGAATTGATATCAGAGCCAGCCAACACCAATGTCGCTTTTTTGGGCCCCATTTCCGGAACGGTCACACCTGTTCCTATCAAGCCCAATTATTGCTGGAATTATCAAGGGTGATCAGGCCCAAGTATTGCGGGAATATATGTGGAATGAAAGAGGAGGAAAATGCAGCCAAATCTTAATGTACCAGACTTGTGTGTTGTGATCTGATATCCACAGGAGAGGCTAAAGCTTATTGCGCATATCTAGCAGACTGAATTCTATTGACTCCCTAGAACTCCAAGGCGGCTAAAATCAATAGGGCAATGGTCAAGAATTCAAGATCTGAATCCCTGTGGTATCTATAGACTGACCGGATGAAGATTCACCAGACACTGTCACAGTTGAAGCGTTGAACAAGAATGATTTTACAGGCTTCCCGCAACATCAAATGAAATTGATGGTAGGAGCACCGGTTGTTCTACTTCAAATTCTGAGCATCCACAAGGGATTGTGCAATGGGACAAGGTTAGTGATTGAGGGCCTAAGTCCCAAGGCTATCAGTGGGCGCATTTTAAGTGGTCCATTCAAGAACACCGCAGTTTTAATACCAAAAATTATGTTGTACCATGAAGGTGACTCAACAGTACAAGTTGATTTTTATTGGTATCAATTTCCAGTTGCCTTAGCCTTTGCCATGACAATAAATTAGTGCCAAGGACAGAGTATGGGCAGAGTTGCCTTGGTCTTAAACACATATTTTTGCCTATGGGCAGTTATATGTGGGGTTATCCAGAGTCCAGAATGTTCAAGACTTATGTGTAACACAAGCAGGTTTGGATAATACTCTGCTCAATGTTTTAGTTGAGCAAATATTTGAGGGCTTGTTGCCTATTCTTCACAAGACACAGGGCCCATTAGAATCATTACATGTATAGTGTTTTTTGTTTCATATTGAAATTCATTTCTCAAGAGGAGTCAATCAGGGGGCAGAGCCCTTAGACACTAGTCAAGTATTACACATTCCCCAGTTCACAATATTACTGCATTTTTCCACCCACTTGACCCCTTGTCTTAATCCAAATCCTGCTAGACCGGCCATTTCTGGAATCATGGTATCTGGTTGTGAGAACTATTTCCGTTGTGTAAGAGACATCAAAATGTGTTTGATCTTTGCCAAAAAAGGCCTTCTTTTGTGTGTGGCACGGATCGTTGTCACAAGATCCTGTTCTCCATCATAGTCACTAAATCCGCTCCTTCAGCACTATGCAGTTGTCCATACTCGTATTTCTATTTCAGATATCGATCCTGTATATGTTTGGAAATCTCATTCCCAAAAACGCTTCAGTTTCACCTCATATCGGTTTGATACCTTTAAATCTTCCCCCACAGGAGTAGCTCTGACGACCTGAAAACGATGAAGCCATATGCCATGCAAGTCCACAGAAATTGTAGTTCATTAAATACACGTATGTATTCCTTTTTTTTTTTCAAAGAAAAAAGAAAAAAAGGGAAAAAAACATGCACGTAGTTCCTCCATGGGAATGCGGAGTAACGATCCCTGAAGGATAGGTAGTCATAATGAGATGCTTGCTTGCTTGCATCACCCGAAGAGATTCACGCGATCGGATACAAGCCTTTCGATTTCATCGTTCTACGATATAGCATCATGTATGTAACATGTTGTCTGCCTAAGAAATAGTCAGTCAGGCAATTGTACAACCAATATCCCTTAAAGGTGTATCCAAGACTTGGACCCACCGCTTTTGACAACTCCTTAGTTTGCGAAACAATGGCGGCTTTTTCCGATTGAGTTTGACCAAAGTCATCATGACGAGACCTCAATTTTGAAGGTTCTTGGTCCATCTGAACTTGCTGTCTTTGGACGCTGAGACACTCTCCTGACCACGCCCGCTGGTTCTCTTGGTGAATCTGTGACTTTCCCCCCCTCCATCCCACCAGTCGCTGGCGAGGCCTGTTTGCGGTCTGCCCCGTCTTGGTTTTTTGAGGGTGATTGCTGGAGAGGCCCGTTTTTAGTCTGCCTTGTAGCTGGGCGATAGTTAGACAGGGCTAGTGTAGCCGCCCTGTCACGATAGGGAGTAGGCTTCGTGATCCCTGGCGTGCTAGGTAGGGGTACAGCTCTTCCGTGCCAGAAGAAGGTACAGGTTCGTTTCTTTTCTCTCGTCATTTGCATAGCCTCAGGGGCGTGTTCCTGTATGATATTGGAATGGGCCGCCCCTCTGGGCTACATTTGTAGCTGGGCGATAGTTAGACAGGGCTAGTGTAGCCGCCCTGTCACGATAGGGAGTAGGCTTCGTGATCCCTGGCGTGCTAGGTAGGGGTACAGCTCTTCCGTGCCAGAAGAAGAAGGTACAGGTTTGTTTCTTTTCTCTGGTCATTTCCACAGCCTCAGGGGCGTATTCCTGTACGATATCGGAATGGGCCGCCCCTCTGGGCTACATATATTGTTTGTCTCTAGTTTTCACTCGAGGCCTATATAAATAGGCCTCTCTTTGTAGGGGCTTTTTTCCCCAGTTCTCTGTTCTTTTCTGCCCAGAAATCCAGAGTTCAGCTCTTTTCATCATCTTTCGAGTGGCTCACTTCTCCTAGGCCTCATTCGCCGGAAGACCCCCGCTTCAGCCAGTTCTTGGTTTTTTGAGGGCGATCGCTGGCGAGGCATGTTTGTGGTCGGCGGTGTTTTTTTGACTGTCGACCGCGATTTGGAATCCCCCGGCAGCAGGATTGGCCAGGCGACCTGGCTCGACCAAAACCACAGCCTAGTGTTTTTTTGACTGTCGACCGCGATTTGAAATCCCCCGGCAGCAGGATTGGCCAGGCGACCTGGCTCGACCAAAACCACAGCCTAGTGTTTTGGACTGCCGACCGCGATTTGGAATCCCCCGGCAGCAGGATTGGCCAGGCGACCTGGCTCGACCAAAACCTCAGCCTAGTGTTTTTTTGACTGTCGACCGCGATTTGGAATCCGCCGGCAGCAGGATTGGCCAGGCGACCTGGCTCGACCAAAACCACAGCATAGTGTTTTTTTGACTGTCGACCGCGATTTGAAATCCGCCGGCAGCAGGATTGGCCAGGCGACCTGGCTCGACCAAAACCACAGCCTAGTGTTTTTTTGACTGTCAACCGCAATTTGAAATCTGCCGGCAGCAGGATTGGCCAGGCGACCTGGCTCAGCCAAAAGTTTCACACAGTCCCCTTCCACCCCCGACCGCGATATAAACTCTGGCGGGCGACTCTGGCTTGGAAATACAATCTCTCAGGATTCATCTTCCTCCAATTTTCACATCAATTGAATTCAAATAATCCCTTGGAATTGCTGGGGAGTTAGTTCATCACTACAGTCAAGAGGACCAGTCAAGCACAAAGCTAATATCTGAGGATAAATCACTACTTGAGAGAGGGCCTAAGTAACCAAAGATTCTAAGGAAAAATACCAATCAGTAGGAGTGGCATGACCTTCCTCTTGAGGTAGCTTATTAGTTTTTGACCCCCGCGTCCTTGAAGATTTTTGGATGAATTGATAATGGCAATTGACCCTTTGGTCTTTCCAGTAACAAGTCCCCGGATCTCCTGCCTATAACAATCCAAGATGATGTATGTTAATTAAAAATAAATCATACTCAAACCAAAGTGCAATTGCTCACTTGTGGGCCTCTGACATTCTTTCAGAAGACATAATATCTTTTGCCACCTTAAAATCCTTTTCTGTCATTTCAAGAAGTAGACCACGATGAACCTGAAATCTGGATGTTAGGATATCCCATCAGTATCAAATAACCAGAGAGAATTCATGGTCATTAGCACAACCATTGCCCAGAAAAACTCAACTCAGTCAAATCCAATGGAGTCACTCCTATTCTAATGGCATTGGGTGCACAAAGATCTGGATAAAAGTTCATCCGTTGACTACCATTCGTGAAAAGTGATGCAATCAAGTAGCCATATGGGTCAGGGTCTGTGAGTATATACATTGGTACCCTTCTTTGAATGAGTCCCGGATCGCTCGCAAGTTTGTAGCACAGAGAACGGGTGGCAAGATCAGGGTTCCCTTTTCCCTGGGGAATCATAAGGAGAGAAGAGATCAGTCAATCAAAGTAGACCCATCTGCTGGGTAGGAACAACAAGAGTGTAAACCCACACTGATGACAATACAAGGAGACAAGTCTGGGTGATTATTAATACCATTATGGACCAATGCGGAAAGCACTGCCTGTTATAGTGTGCATTGGATGAGTTAGTTTCTGTTAGAAAAAACTACTGAGACCAATGAGGTCATGGCTCACCTCTTTTTCAACAATTAAAATCATTCTGACATTTTGACCAGGAATAACCTCTTTTACAGTCTCCATTGGAGGGATCAATGTGGATATTGATGCCCCATCAACAGTGACCCTATCATTTTTCACTTTGGAAACAATCTTCAGGTCACCGTGAAATATTCCCCTGCCACCAGCAAACTGGTTGTAAAAAACAATCTCATCAGTGATTGAACAGGATTTATCAAAGTGATTGAGACTCCTGACGATGTATAAATGGGTCCTCTCAATTTCAAAGGTTTTCGCAAGGTGATTGACTATCTGTCAACAAGCACCCAAAAATAAATCAGCATGCTTTGAAACCCTCTTCATAAATATATATATCTGAGCATACCTCCTCAACACGAACTTGCTTGATGAACAGGGGAATGTTGTGATAATAAACATCCCTGTGGACCACAAAACAAGCAGTGATCAATGCAAGGCTGTTGAGTCAGTGTTAGTATTTTCCAAACTCACCTGATCAAAATTGGTGTCTTTTCTAAAATAGCCAAATGTGAGAGGTCCATCACCTGGAGGAATCGTGCTGAAGGTAAAACCCAAACAATAAAGAGACAGACTTGGTCAACTTGAAAGGATTATGCCAACTGATTTTGGGAACTCACCCAAGCGACTAGTCCCTCCCTCTATGCCTCTTGGGAATTGGAGGCCTCTAGATTGACCAGGGTGAACACTATCCTTCATTGGAAGGGTTATTTGCATATCTCCCCTTTTGAACCCCACAGGCCAGTTTGCCTCATCAGCAGCATAGTTGAGTTTCTTCAAAAAATCAACAATAAACTGTTCAATCTTTTCCAAACCTTTCTCTGTACTGCAGATGGCAAAAGATGCAAACATGTATCTTTCAGAAGCACATAAGGACGAGAAGAAAAAGAGAGATAATGGGGACCTTACAACTCACTCATCAGCTGTTGGTTCAGGCTCATCTTCAACCAGTTGAGTCTCCTGAGCATCTGGTTCTTTTGGATTGGGCTGGGCAGATCCAACATCTTCAAATGTATCCTGGCCAGACTGGGTGAGCTCCAGGGGTTTGTATAACCCTGGGTTCGAGGTGATCGCCTGGAGGACCTCTGAGAATATTGATGGAATCGCAGAAGCTGTATCTTCCTGTTGTTCATTTCGAGCTTGTTCACTAGATTGACCCTCTTTTCCAAATATTGTAGGGTAGATTAGTCAGCTCGAGTTGCAGGCAGCAAATTTTTGACTTAATAGACCAACTCACCACTATCTGTATATATTGAAGTATATATGGAAGAGTGGAAATCACCCATTGAGTCACAACGCTCTAACGGTACTGACATCGTGGTTGTGGTAAAGATGTTGGTTAAGAGGTCAAAAAAGAATATCTCATCTCTGAGTACCTCTCAATTCACCGGGGGGGGCTGTTTGATAACAGATTCAGATCTCATCTGCTGTGTACCCTGACTTCCAGTGCCTGCATGTCGGTTTGAAGAAACCAAGTCACATTTTCATTACGATTCCAACCATCCCGTTCGACACTCATCCATCGCTCCTGTTCGACTCACCCCCTCACCAGGCTCACAAGTAAGATTGAGATCTCACCCTTCCTGTAGTATTCCACACTTCACTTCAGCTCTATAATTTAATAGATTTTGTTCCTTCCACCACACACAGAGATCCCAGGTGCTTGGTTAGAACAATGGATCCCGATCAATTTTTCCTCCATACTCACCAATCCCCTTCCAAAAAAAGTCTTTCAATTCCAGAAGATACTGAAGAGAATTTCAAACACATCCTCTATTCCGTCACACAAAATGTCTGGGTTCCAAAATCCTTCAATCCAATTTCATGCTCATCGCTCCCACCTTTAGATGGCCCTGTCTATCTGAATGTTGCAATTGAGCTCATTGGGAAGTTGGAAGACCCTCAAGAAACCATTATTGAAAGCATTATTCAAACCATCTTGACCACACTCTATCAGGTGAGTTTCATGTGCATGTCTCTATCAATCCTTAACATAAACCATGGGTGACTCACTTGAAACCGTCACATCCAGTTCTCCAAAGGCACCACTGTCTGCCTAACTGGGATAACTCCTGAAGAAACCCAGTTTGGGAATGCAACTTGTAAGTCTGACCATCATCTGAGCACGTCTAAAGGGGGTGGATGTGACTGACTCAATAAAACCTAAACAGTTGCCCTATCATTTGAGCCCATCCAGGAGCCTCTCAAAGTACTCCTTGCCGGGCAGAACATTGGACGACTCTCCTCTTTGCAACTGGATGTACTGTTTGAAGCACGAAGGCACAGCCACCCATTATCTTTCACAGAATCAATGAAGCAACTCACTTTCAACTTGATTTGTGATCTAATGAACCACCTAGCCACAGAAATCCCATTGGTTTTCAATTCAAAATGGCGAAAGGTGAGTTCCTGTGGTCTGCAACCTCTTTCTTGAATACCTTTTGACCGCTGAAACTGCCTGGGCTTCTGACAGTCTCTACCCAACAAGTTGGCTACTATCATTTATATGTCCACCTACACTGCCTCAATTGCTGATTCTGCTAAGGACGAGGAAGCTAGAAGTGAAGTTGGAAAGATGCCTGTGGTCAGTGAATCTTGACGAGTTTTATTTGGCTTTCTTTTTCTGTTTCTCTGCCTCATGCATGGAACCAAGGAATTTGACACCCAGGGTTAATGTTTTTCCTCCCTCATAGACACTTGACATGAGCCAAAGTGATCAAAAAATGGTTATCGACTCACAATACAAAATCAACAGTCAATTGGTCAAGTTCTTCTTGCACCATGGAAGGCTTCCATGATCTCTCTACTATGTTCTTTAGCCATACTTTACACTTCTCTTTTCCAGTCTTTCTTATAGCATTGATAAATATCTAACCTATCTATAAATTAACTCAAGACTGAATAACATGATGACCTTTGTGGGCTTTGACAATTTCAATTGCTTTATCAAAAGAATGACTTCTATTTACCCTCTTCATAAGCTCATGGAACTCATGAGGTTGGAGATGATCCAAAGAGCTCATGGACTGAGATTTCCGGAGGATTTCAATTTTATGGGGGAGGGTGCTGGAGGGATCAGTAGGACTGGTGTGCACAATTGGGGTGGCAGTGGCTGATGATGAAGGGGCTCTGCTTTTTTGATTAGATGAGTTGATGAGTTGATTGGCCGGGGGATGTAATTTCATTCCATATCCTAAAATAGGGTCCAGGGTCCTCTTCAGCCGGTCCAGGTCTTCAACATTCTTCAGGATTCCTTGCCAGCGGCTCACAATTAGCTGCATTGCAGGAAAGGGTTAGGATTAGATGGCATATTTGTGGATATTGTTCCCAGAAGATCCTCAGACTCACTGAACCATTGCATTTTGCCGTCCCAAAAGTGATTAGAAAGAGTGGCCCTTTGGGATGCTCCTTATAGGCTGTTCTGATGACCTTCTGTCCATAATCTTCATGTCCAAGAGTTTCTAGGGTTCTCGTCAAGTTGACATGGCCCTAGAGGATCTGCATCAGTCTCAATAGGTCAACAGAGTATATTAGGTCATACTGACAATGGGGAGTGTGGCTTTTGAGCATTGGCCAAGCAATGTGTCAATATAAAGCTTCAACACGAACTGTCTGATCCCATGTGTCTCAAGTATCTCGATAGCCATTGACAGGCCTTTCTCCTTGCTGCCAAGGTCAGAAGAAGTGAAATCCCTATGAGCCTCTGGCCAGCATGGATATCCCATGTAGAAATGGAGAGTAACGTACAACTTTCTAAAGATCGGCTTTGTGGCATTTGGATGATATGCGGGGAGGCCATCAGCTGCCACATCAACCCTGTGTAGTAAAAACTGGGTGCTGTCTGATGCCAGAGCCATGTTGATTTGTTTGATGACTGAGTGAGATGTGAGCTTCTTGAGAGTTTAAGTAGATCTTGTTGACCGTGTTGGATGAGGCTGAGGATGGTGTGTTGATCATGATGATTGAAGATCAGCCAGGTGTATGCATACTGATCACGATCAAAATGGCATCTCCTTTGCAAGGGGTTTGGATCTGCGCATACATCCACCTTTCAGAACCCTCAAGAGAGCACTGGATGTCTGGTTTGGTGTGCGATACAAGGTTGGATGTGGCTTACAAGGACAAATTAATTGGACTTAAATTGTTACTGGCCTGTTTTGTATGAAGGGTTCAATTCCAAGTCTCCGTGATGGTTTGGGGTATGAAGCGATCCTCTCTCCACCTCAAACCAACAAAACCAGCTCTCTCCCTCCAACAAACATGAACCACCCCCAGAAGACTTCAACCCATGTAAGCCCAGTTTTTCACCTCTTGATTGCTTCCTTCTTCAATCCCCTCTGCCTGTTTATATAGCTGCCTGCCTATTGAAAACTGACAAACATGTCCTCTCTTCAGCGTCCTCATCATCCTGCTCATCACCATCATCCCTATCGTTCATCACACTCCAGAAGCACATCCAATGATGGGTTCAGGAGACATTCCAACCCTTCTTCACATGAACCTCATTTGACTAAACCAAGCGACCACCCTGAGCAATTTGCCTTCGACCAAAATAAACCCAAGTCACCAGTTTCCCAATCAATCATCCTCAAGGGCATTCCCTGGTCAGCCAATGAATCCTCTGTATTCGAGTTCTTAGAAAGCATGGGAGCCGCGGTTCGTTTTGTCAAAGTAATCTACGATCACCAAACCCACCGAAGCAAACGCTATGCATATGCCCACTTCTTTGGCCTGGATCGCGCACAAGAGTTTCTCGAGCCTCGATTTCCATTTATTACCTGGAAAGAACCAGAGAATTCTGAACACCGTAATTACTACAATACTTTGAAGATCCGAATCGACTATTGCACCGAGCCACCAGAGGTCAAAAAAAATCTTGGGAATGGTGGAGATGATGACAAGAGTGAGATACCAAATCAAATCCTTTTATTACGAGGGCTCGACAAGAAGACCACCCTTCAAGATATCCATACATCCTTGCAGATGATACGTGAACGCATTCCCATCCAGAACATCATGCTGGTCATGGATCGGGCTACTCAAATGAGTTGTGGATATGCGTTTGTCCACTTTTCATCAGTTGCTGTGAGGTTTTTCACTGTTTTCCTTTTGGGCACCTCACAACTCTTGATGTTTCTGAAACCATTCTGACTGTTTTTCCTGGTGGGTATGCTCAGGATGCCCTTAGGGCCCTTGCCTTGATAACTAAGGTGGACCTTTTCCCCCAAGGCTTTGAGATTGGTCCGAGGATGATTAGAGCTTCTATGGCAAATGTCCACTGTTTCCATCCCATCAACAAACACACTGATGGGTCGCCAGACGCTTTAAAATACTGGAATGATGATCTTTACTTAACCTCTCTAGTCAACACAAAGCCTCCATCCACTAGTACCCATCTCCAGAGCAGCATAAATCGTGATGCAGCAACAGGATCACCTAATTCCCCCAGATCTGCTCATCAGACATGCAGGGAGTTATCTGTTCCAACAAGTGAAGATAGCGATGTAGATAGATTCTTCCATGCCCTGTGTGTGCCTGAAGAATAATTCCAGCCAATCTCTACATATATGCATCATTATTTACCAATGATAGGCAGATTGTATCCATATATTTAGCAAGTGTTATTGTTCCTATTGAACAGGGTATCAATTTTTCCAAATCATTAAAAAAACCACTCTTCAATCCAAGTTTTATTGCTACAGAGTTCACCCTGATCACTGTTTCTTTTGGTGGCTTCAGGCTTGTTGGATTCCAATTGATTCTGGGGTTTTTTCCGTCTGGTGTCTTCAAGAAGAAGAAACCATTCTACATATGCCTTGGAATGAAGTGACTTGCTGTCCATTTCCCTTGAATACCAGGGAGCACTCTCTCCTTCCACCAGGTTGTGGGCCGCTCATGATTCATTAATTTATCTGAGAACCAGGAGAGAGACAGCCCCCCCCTCTTTGCAACAGTTGTGAGTCTTGACTGCTTTCCTGTGGTGGGTGGCCGGAAAAGGCTGCGGTTGTGTAGCGTAACGTAGGCGTGGTAATGATCAGATAGTCCGAGGGTCCTTGTAATCAAACTGATTCGAAAAATTTGCAAAAGCTAATAGGATGTATGTTGAGTAGGAAGGTGGAAGAAAAAAGCTTTCTCATAATGACTGCATCCCTGCTGGTGTAAATCGAGGGAACTAGTATGTAGATGGAGACTAGAGACAGTGACGAAATGGGGAAACCTCCCCCCTCTCCTACAAACAGAAGGCCAATTTATATTGGCCAGGTACATGCTATGTAAAATATGGACTAAGGAAAGCGGGAACATGACCGAAGCCTCTTGGCCAAAGATTCTAATGAATCTGAACCAGTCGGCTGGCTAAAAGGGAACTCCGGACCAAACCCGGTCTGGTTGGCTGCTGTAGTAGGTTGCTCTACTACGCCAGAGGGATACAGGGAGAACCGCATGGGTGGCGCCAGGCGACATATCGGATCTCCCTTTCATCTCCGAGTCTCCTGTAGCAGGCGACCCCCCCATCCCCACCGAAAGTTCAGACCCATTCTTTTTGACGGTCGACCGCGATATTAATTCCTGCGGCAGCAGGATTGGCCAGGCGACCCCATCCCAATCATCATCATCCAGAATGTTTTGTTAACGGTAGCACAGCCGGAGTTGGGGTTTGTCCAAGGAACCGCTTAGTGCCGGCCGAGATGGATTCTGTAACTGTAAAAGGTGGCTTGATTACCACACTAGTGGCTGAGCTAGAAGAAGCGAGTCGGTATCTCCGTAGGAGTAGGAGATAACAGGAGAGACCGCTACTGACTCGTTATCGTAGGCCGGAGGAGACAGCGGGTCATCGATGGCTATGACTTATCTACTCCCTCCTCTCCCTCCTCTGGTCCTGCCCGCTAAGCTCCATCTCCCTCGGAACTGCTACCCCTTCCCACGACCTTTCCAGTTTCCGCTTGCTCTTAGCGCTACAGGCCCAGTTTTCTTTGACCATCCCACCCTCCCTGACAAAGAAGACAAGGCCAGAGGCACGCTCACCTACTCACGGGTGAGGGCCTGACACCTTCCAGGGCACACTCCGGTGTGCGCTTCTGCTTTGGGGGCGCGGCGACTCGCTCCGCCTCCCTCCGCTTGGCCGGACTAGACACAGCTGATCCCTCGGGACGGCACTCCAGTGTCTCAAAGTCCGCTCGCCCCCCCACACCCCACACACGGTGGTCTTGGGGAGCCCACCCGAGTGGTAGGCTCCCGGGATCGCCTAGGCGGCTGGAAACCAGCCGCCGAAGATGTACAGAAGCAGCACGCCCTAGCGTCTCGAGGAGATCCTAGTGTCGTGCTTCGCTTCCCTGAGAATAAAACACCAGGGTCTGCGCCTGCGCAGTAAGAGCCGGTAAACTGGTCTATAGCCCTCGCTGTCTCCGACGCGCCGAGGTGTGTTGGATGCGGTTTAATCTTAGTGACCTCATCCATGATGAACCCCTATCTCCAACATCTCGATTCTCCGCCGATAACTGGAACCAGGTGCCATTCAATCAAAATGGCCTCGCCGAAACCAACGATCATTTCTTAGCCAACCACCACTACGATGGTCAATCTATGTCATCTTTGGCCACTACATCCTACCGACATGATCAGAATTCTGGCCGTCAAGAGGAGCAGACGTTTCACTCAGTTCATGGACCATGTGCCCCGGCGGCATCGATCTTTGATGTGACCGCCCATCTTCTAAATCCCTTAGTAACATGATCGATCATATCAGTGGGGTAGTAATTATTTGCCTATTCTCGACCAATCTGAATCATCCTTGAGACCTGATCTTTTTTCTCTCTTTCTTGTAAAGCTCTTTGGAATTGGCACCCGAAATGAGCGAAAGAAAGCAGCTTATTTGGAGGCATCAAAAAAATTCAAACGACACGATTGCTAGACGGCGAGTGAGATTAATGCAGAGAATAAGGATTTCAAACAGCAGCAAACTGAAATTGAGAAATACGAGCAGCTTTGTCACGACCAAGTCAGTGACTTGCTTATCCAATTGGGATCATCAAAATAAGCCTTCTAACTATTCTGTCTTCGGAACCCCTGCTTTCTAGGATGTGACCATTATCCCCCATTTATTCTGAAAACTGTGGCACATGGTCACCCTCCGACGACAATAGGCCATTGTAGCCAAAGCTCGAGACCACTTCTACGGTACTATCTGTTCAATTGCCTGTATTTTTTTAAGATCCGTACTAAGAATGATGTTGCCAAACTCCGACGACAAATAGCCAAGCAACAGGCCGGTGACCGAAATATATCAATATCCAAAGATAAGCTCAAAGAATACCAAACACTGTAATGCCTCTCCTGACCTCATGCATGTGAGGTAGTTGACCGAATCAGCCTTCATCGGGGACTCACCTGGGAATGCATCGTCCTGTTTTAGGAAAGCGAAGAGTGCCAATGAATGCCCTAAAGAGCATGGGCTTAAATAAATCAAGATATCAAAACGAAAACCTTTAAAATGAGTCAATTAGAGGATCAACTAGCACAAGCCCAAACTCGGTATAAAAAACTCGACCAGGATCACAATACCCAAACAAACAGGAAAACTATCGTAAGTTGAAATTATATGGCTCCAAGTTATCAACACATGACTTTCAGTCCTTTTTGTCAAAATAGACGGAAAACAAGATCAATGGCGTGCTTGGTGAGTTAAATAAGAAGAGAAAGCTGATTCATGACGTTCAAGCGGAAAGGCCCCGTCAAGCGTTTTTTGATTGTCTAAAGTTTTGTCTTACTGAGCTTATCTTCTTCTCCTAACCCAATTGGATGGCGGGACTTATTGTAGGCAAACCAAAACTGAACTGAAAGAAACGCTTCAAGATTGTTTGAAAAAGATCAGCGAGGCTGGGGCAGCCCAACGTGAGACCAAATCTGGAGTACGTATGCGAACCATGATTGAAAAGCTGCGCAGGTTATTCCCAGGTATGATTTATCTGCTAGCAAAGCTAGTCTCTGAATCTACCATTCTTGCGACTGTCCGAAAGGGATGGCCCCCCTGCAGGTGTGGCTCGAAAAAGGAATCGGTCATCCATTTGTGGCTATCAAAAATGTGGACGAAGTGTCAATATGAGGCCCATGCGATGGGACGGACCCTCGTGTTTCGAGCAGGATGGGAGACCGTTGGCGGTAGGCTTTCTGGATATTTAGCCTTATGCAACGGGCATTCAAATTTTCAACAACTTCCTCTTGTTAGGAGATTTGGTGAAAGGGATCCCGTTGGAAGCTTTCAAAGTGAGTCTTTTGCTCTCCTTAAACCCCCTTCCCATTCACCTTAATCATGTGCACCGCCGAGACATAGTAAAACATCATCATTCACATCTTGATTGGTTGGAAGAGCCGTAGGGCCACACTTACGTCGATCTGGAATGCTCAACGATCAATTTCTTGGTGATTGATGGGAAATTGGGGGGTCATTGGGATATTCGAATAGAATCCAACCAGTTTGTTTTTGCCTCTTGTGATGGTCTGCTCCAGATTCTCAAGATGGGTTTTTTTCTGATGTTTTACCCCGTTTTTGTTGTGTTTAGATATTGAGTCTCAGGGCGGATCGAAGTTCCTCTGTAGATACAAGTTTAATCCGTCTAGTGAAATGACATGTTTGATGCAATTCGGAAAACGACTTCAGGTCAAAAATGAAGCGAAAGTCATAGGCATCTTCTTTGGCAAGCCCTCTCTATCTCTCCGTTTTTTTTTTTCGCTTTTTTTTTCTTTTCTGTCGTTTGGCAAGACACGGAATTCGCTGATCATCTGGTCTCGCTTGTGCATTGTATTTGTTTTCAGCGAGTTTGGACGGCTCGATCAGCTCGTTGGTGCCCAGCATGGACGCGGTGTATAAGTCTCTCCAACTAGTCCAAACCCGGCTCCCAGACACATTCATCATTTAGTGGGCTTGAATCCCAAAGGACGCAGCTCTTGAACAGTCTCTCTCTCTCTCTCTCTCTCTTTCTCTTATGGTCCAGATGTGTGTAGGTGGTGGCTAATCATGTCTTACACCTGCTTCTGGAATATCTCTCTCTTGTAGAACTATCAGAAAAAATCTTGTCTCCAGGGCTATCAATCGCGGCATTTTTGGATGGCGAGTTCCTCTCGCCAACTTCCACCCCCTGTCTCTCACTCAACAGGCCAAACTCGGCGGGCTTGCAGGATCGGATCTTGAAACTGTTTTGGCCAATCTTCTCGACTTGAGAGGCTTGTGGTTAACTTCTCCTTTTATTTTGCCCCTCTTTGCTTTTGCGTTATAATTTTTTTTTTCTCTTTAAATCACTGCAGTCTTATTGCTCACATTCTTATCGTTGTATTTGGAAACTTATTTGATGCTGTATTTATGTACATCCTCCTCTCTAATTGAAACATCTTGACCACGTATCCTTGATTAATTTACATCCAGCAAGATGGTGATATGTTTGGACCCCAAGCTTTGTGACAAGAGAAGTTCATCTTCATCAGCTCAAACCAATCAAATTAAGGACTATGACTTATATAGTTCTATTACAATATTTTCAGTCAGTTATTTTTGTTGATATTTTTGGCTGATGAACTCAAGAGGCAGAGGGCCAAAAATAAAAATTTCTTTTTTGGGAAAGGTTCACTGAAAAAGAGTGATTTTATTGGCTGTATTTAGGCTAGCTTAAGTAGACTACACATACAAGTGATCAAATGTGGTAGAAATGAAAATGAATAAAGAGTGGTTTTGAATAAAAACTGAGAGGAATAAATGTCTGAGGACATAACTGGACAAGTCTTCTCAGTCTCTTTTAGACAAGCTAGTAAGATTAATCATGAGAAAACATACACTCCACCACAAATGAATAAAGTTGTTAATTCTAGACAATCAGATTTTAAGGAATCAAAT